ATATTAACGAATTAAAAAACAACAATTTTAATTGAATATTTTTCATATCGTTAAAATAATAATGAATGAAAATAACATTGTTGATATGTGCAATTATTATACTTCGAATAATCAAATATAATAATCTTTTCCTATCTCTTTCTTTCTTTCTTTTTCTATCATGATTAGAATCTTTCAAATGTCGTCTAGGTCTTCGTCAAATATTTGAATAATTTCAAACCGATGAATAATTTATCTATTTACTATTGGATAGAGAAATAGTTAGAAAGATACACAAAAGGATACGATATACTTTAAAACGAGTTTTTCAATTAAACCATACGGTCGTAGTTTAAGTTACGAGAAAGAATATCGTTAACCCTCACCCCCACCCCCACCCCCTTTTTTTCGTTATAGTTACTTCGAGTAAAGTAGAATAGAATAGAATAGAATAGAATGGAATAGAATAGGCAAGAAATTAACTTGATATCTTTATCGAATCGTTTATTCTTTAACGAGAAAGAGAACAACGAAAGTAATTTATTCAAACTGATTTTATATTACGAAAGATCTTAATCACATTTTCTCCTATATTTTTTATTCATTAATCTATTAGTATAATTAACGTGAAAAAAGATTGAAATTCAAATTTTTACTCTTATTCGAACGAACAAAAAAAAAGAAATTGAAGTAATTATTTTTCGTTTGTTTGCAATATATATACTTCCAATTCAATATARAAAATTATTTATCTCTTTTGTTTAATTTTATTTCAAGATACAACCATAAAAAAAACAATATTAAATCAATATTACACACGTTAAACAAATCACGTAACACTTTAAACAATAATTCTAACAATCTTTTATAGAAATCTAAATAACATTAAAYTAATCTCACAATTACCTTAGATAATATCTTCAATATATTATCTAACTAGATTATCTATTAATAATAAGATACACACACACACACTTCGTATAAATATAACACAATTCGATTGAAATTGCAATGATACGCAACTAATCGTTTTGATTGGCTTATATTAATATAATAGGTACATATATAACAATTTCTAAATCTACATACATTCACAATCACACACACACAGATATAGAAACAAAGGTATTAACGTTTATTCGTACACATGTAGGTTCATTCATGCACACGTATAAATGTGTCTTCATACATGCATACAAACTTATTATATACATAGATACCTAGATAGATAGATAAACAGATAAATAACTAGCTAGATACATAGATAGATACATCGATTTCATTTCTAGTATCTCATACAAGTGAGTCAGTCATAATGATCGATTTTCTATGGGCCCAGAACAGAAACCCATTACACATAAAGGTCTTTTCGATTAAAGTTGGTTTTGATTCAATTATCACTCACATTAAAGTTATGGTTCCTATCTTCAAAAAGGTACAAATCATTGTTGAATTTATTTGTTACATTTGTCGTTTCGAATGATATTAAAATAGAAAGATGATTTTTTATAATATTTGAGGGGTAGGAAGGGGGATGGTCATATTGCAAACCAAATTTATTTCGATAGTTTTCTTACGAACGTATACGATTATTATAATTTTGATACAATAGAAAATAGGTTGTGATAGATACATGATAAAAAAATAAAAAGAATTGAAAGAGATAGAAAAATGAATAAAAAAAAAATATATATATATGTGGAAGTAGTGTAGGATGAGAGAATAGATGAAAAGAAAGAAATCCCTGTTTCGAAGTAGTCAAGCTCAACAAATGGTCAGACGTATTAGTAAATGTTTGACGAAAATTAAAATGTTTAATAATTATCTACGTGTATGTATTGTTTAGAAGGTTTTTCTTTTTTTTTTTGAATACATTGTATATAAATTTGTTCTTATTTAAATATTATACAAATTCTATAATATACTAAATAACAAACAATTAAAATAATTGATTATTTTTTTTCTCTATTGATATTTAAATTGATTATATTTTTTTTTTCATTAAGTTATAATTAAATCTGACATGGTGGTATCGATGTAAAAATTCAATTTGAGAATATTCATATATAAATTATATTTGTATATAATTTCAAAATTTTGGCTCAAAAATTTGTTCACGAATTTCTTTTATATAATTTAGATACATATATATATATATACATACGTACATCGATTACACAATTACATAATTAATAAATAAGAAATAGTTTTCTATAAAAATCATTCGGATTCTCTCGTAAAATATTTCGAACTTCAATCATCCACAACCCCTCTCTCATGCATACGAAATTTCGAATGAATAAAATATCTCGATGATTCGATCAGTGGGTCTGGAATGGGGTTTCATGGGGTAGGGGATTGTTTAATCAATCAGGATAATAAAAAATATCCTATAGAAAAAAGTATGGAAAAATTCGTGGAATTATCCAGGTGATTTGTACAACAACGAGAGTCTTCCACGAAGCAAGGACCACCATCACCATCACCACCACCATCAGCAACAACAACAACAACAACTACAACAATGCACTACCAGGCTTGTTGATAAAAGATGCAGCAGCAGTGGTAGCAGTTCGGCTGCAGTTTATGCTGCATTGCAAGGTAGCGAGGATGATGAACTTGCCGATGTTGAACATTGTCTTGAATCGGAAGACGTGGCCTTGAAAACTGGAGGAAGTGAAACAGAAGATACTGAAGATAACGGTCCACCTATGGAAGAACCACACCACCATTCGCCTAATCGTAGGTTCACTTTTTTACGTCGTTTCCGTTCACCACGATTCGGTGAAGCTCATCACAAACGTGTACCAACCCCCATGAAAAGGAAACACAGAAGGAAGAAAAGTAAAGATGATATTATTGAAAATGAAGTTAACGGTGCTGACGAGGAAGAACCACCTAGTCCTGATCAAACTGGTGTACCTGATCCTTATTATCCTATTTATTTACCTATCGATCAGGCATTCAAAGCTAAATATGTGTTCCATCATAAAAAAGGAAAAACATTTCAAGAAAGGCTTTACGTTTTTCTCGAACATCCAGGTGGTTGGCTATGCTTCGTCTATCATTTCACTGTGTGAGTATAATATCATAATGATTATTATTCAATCATTTTTATTATATTTATTTATTATTTAATCAGTTATTTATCTCGTTCAAAATTATAATTATTAATGATAAGGTATCAGAGGGAACTTGGACATAAAAAAGAAGTAGAACTTAATTAAATTAAGTTAAAGTAACTTATTAAAATGAAGTTCTACTTCTTTTTTATGTCCAAGTTCCTTGTAATACCTTATCATTAAGAATTCATTTATTATTTCATTTTTCTTTTTTTTTTTTAATCTTCAATATATTATTAAACGTATATTGTGTCAAACTACTGTTGATATGTTATCTCGTTAACATTGATTTATGATATTATTGATATTATATATAATTATATAAGAATATAAGATTATATAAGATATATATAAGATATATTAATATCATAATATCTTGAATTTTGTTAACTTTTTAATATATCCTGTAAAACAATTTTCTATAATTTTTCTATGTGATCTTTCAAATTAATTACAATTCTTTTTGTTTGTACGTAAAAAGAAAATGAATGCTTTTAATATTATGGTGTAAAGAAATTTTGTAATAATTCATGTAATTAATAACGAATATATTTATAAACGTTAATTAAATCTCTAGTAGACAAAACAATTGTTATTGTAATAAGATTTGTCAGGAAAATTGTTGAAACAGCACGAAAAAAAAATAGAAAAAAAAAAGAAACAAATAAATACATTCTCGACATATTCACGTAAAACATTAATTTTCGATCCATTCATTATTACGAGACACATTGGACGTTAACGATAAAGGATTACCCAATTTCAAAGATCAAGTGATCATATTTATGAACTACCCTCATATATTTCTATGCATAATAAAATATCGTAAAGTTCGTCGACGAAAAAAAAAAAAAAACTATAAAGGATCCAGGGGGTGGGGTGGGTGTAGGAAACTTTTCAAGTAATGGGGGGGGGGAAAAGAAAAAAAAAAAAGAACAAACAAATTTCTATTCAGCGTATTAATCGATTTATGCTATTTCTAGGATATTAATATTAATTCGTTCATGATACGTCACTCACATGTGGGTCGGTAATTTTTTCATGAACGATAGGATTAAAATACAATTTTCTATAATCGTTCTCTAATAATTCAAACAATCCACTCTCTATCTATTTGTTTAATAATATTTAATACCAAACAAACAAAAAATTTATTTACACACCCGTAATATATATTTTTGTAATAGAAAATATTAAAAAAAAGAAAATTGATTGTTCTCTAATAATTCAAACAATCCACTCTCTATCTATTTGTTTAATAATATTTAATAATAAACAAACAAAAATTGATTTACACACTCGTAATATGTATTTTTGTAATAGAAAATATTAAAAAAAAGAAAATTGATTGTTCTCTAATAATTCAAACAATCCACTCTCTATCTATGTGTTTAATAATATTTAATAATAAACAAACAAAAAATTGATTTACACACCCGTAATATGTATTTTTGTAATAGAAAATATTAAAAAAAAGAAAATTGATTGTTCTCTAATAATTCAAACAATCCTCTCTCTATCTATTTGTTTAATAATATTTAATACCAAACAAACAAAAAATTTATTTACACACCCGTAATATGTATTTTTGTAATAGAAAATATAAAAAAAAAGTGTCGGTTGGTTATGTCTATCATATTTTGAATTTGATTATTCCCAATTTCCTGTTCGTTTTGATAAGGAATGATAAGGAAAAAGCTTCCTAGAATATCCTGAAATATTTTGGATATATATATATATCCCTTTGGGATTTGATAAACCATAGAAAAATCTTCTATCGAGCTTTTTTTTGAACTTATCATATGCTCGAACTGAATGTGAAAAAGAAAGGGAGAGAAAGAAAAAAAAATTGTACCTTTTATATGTTTTACTTGTAACACATGCGATCACTTTTAAAAACTTTATCGATAAAGTTACTTTACTTCTCTCTGCTACTTTTACTTTTACTTAAACTTTAACTTTTATTTTAACTTTTTTTTTCTTTCTTTTTTTCTTTCTTTCTTTTTCGACATGGGTATCTTAGAATTAGCTTTTATGGGGAGAGTAAGAGACTTCGAAAGCTTTTAGAATCCCACGGGAATTCGTATCTGCATCTACACGGTGAACCAATTTCAACAACCAACTAACTAACTAACTAACTAACTAACTAACTAATACTTATTATTGATTTTCTATCGTTCTTATTTAATAAAACAAATTACATTTATAATGTTAATACATTTTCACAATTCGATTTCACACGAGATTTCTGTTTTATTTGTTTTATATTTTATTTTGTATTTGATTTTCAACGATAGTTATCATTTTTACAATTCATTCTTTTGTCAGAATATGTTTTATAATTAATATCATTTATATAATTAAATTCATTTATGATACGATCCTTAATTGAATCACTAATACAAATACAAAAATGTTGCATTATATAAAAAAAAAAAATAGAAAATATAGTTGCATTTATTTAGATGTTTTAAACAAATATTAGAAAAACAATTGTATGCTTGTGATATGTTAGAAATTTATTTATATAATAAATATATTATATAAATATTTATAATATAATAAAATTATATATTATATATTCAACAACCAACTAACTAACTAACTAATTAACTAACTAATACTTATTATTGATTTTTTATCGTTCTTATTTAATAAAACAAATTACATTTATAATGTTAACACATTTTCACAATACGATATCACACGAGATTTCTGTGTTTTATTTGTTAAATATTTTATTTTGTATTTGATTTTCAACGATAGTTATCATTTTTACAATTCATTCTTTTGTCAGAATATGTTTTATCATTAATATCATTTATATAATTAAATTCATTCATAATACGATCCTTAAAAGAATCACTAATACAAATACAAAAATGTTGCATTATATAAAAAAAAAAAATTGAAAATATAGTTGCATTTATTTAGATGTTTTAAACAAATATTAGAAAAATAATTGTATGCTTGTGATATGTTATCAATTTATTTATATATAAATATATTATATAAATATTTATAATATAATAAAATATTAATAAAATATTTATAATATATATATATTTTTTTTTCTTTTACTGTTGTTTTTTTTTTTGATAGAATCGATAGAAACAAGCAATAGTCATAGTTATTTGAAGAGATAGTGATACTTATTGATTCACCCAGTATACGTCGTCGTTTACCGTTGAACGCTCTGCTGACTCTTCAGAATCGATCAAGCACGTAATCCGTTCTCGTGAATCTGAGACAGAGAAACCAACTATGACATTTGAAAATTGCTAAGAAATTCGATCACAATAATATCGGCACGGTGATCGATTGTCAAACACGTTTCAATATTATTTACCCCCCACCCTCTCCCCATTCAAACTTCAATATTACCTACTTTTCTATTTAAATATCTTCTTACGTAAAAATGAAAAGAAAAAATACAATCTTTAGAAAATAAATATTCTATTTCCATTTTAATAATAGAAATATTGTGCAATTTTTTATATTTCTAAAAAATGTTTTAAAATTAATAAATAATAAAATAGAAAATTTGATTTTCATTTTCTTTTTTCAGATGATTAGGTCAATTGTGGTTACACTTTGTTATAATTCGAATAATCATTGATTTCGTTAGATAGATACGTTTATAATATATTCACATATATACATTTGTACATTCTATATTACTATATACATGTGTGTAATATATCTGTATAGGTAATATAACTGTATAGGTATAATCATAGTAGTATTCCTATCTGAAAAGTGGTTCTCACGAATGCAACGATCACGAGGAGTACACTTAACTCGAAAATGTGGTTTAAATCGAATGTCGGTTAATATCATGCTATAAAAATCTTAAAATATCTACACGTCCCACCTCAATTCCCCCCACCGCCACTTCTCGTTATTATTCTCTCAATGCGCGATCAATGCGTTTAATTGGTCAGTAAAAAAAACATTTCTACTACTCTCGTATCAAATTATTCATAACATTTATTATTCTAAATATAAATAAAAATATAAACGTATGAAAAAACAAAAAACGCGTATTTTAAATTAATTCATAATATAAAAGATAGGAAAAAAAAAAAAAAAAGAAAATTAAAGGAAAGTAAAAAAAAATTAATTGAAATATGAATATTAATTAATATAAAAAAAATAGTATATTAAAATATTGAAACACAGATTAAAATTTTTGGAATATTAACACTGTATCACGCATATCTCGTCTATATTCTTATTAAATTTCAAATCAAATGAAATTAATGTAAATATATGATCTCAATGATAAATATAATATTAATTACGTAAAAAAGAGAATAAATTAAAAATAAAATAGATATATACGTATGTGTGTATCGTATTTCAATATTTTATATATAAGATTTATTTTCAGATAATACAAAACGCATAACCGATGATTATGATCATGAGATGAGTATAAAAACTTGGAAAAGAAAAAAAATATTTTTTCACAAAAATAGATCGTATCCTTTGAAAATTTCTATCTCATTTCATAATTAACTAACCCTTCGCGTGACTTATTATTTTATCTAGTAGCATAAATCTTTGGGAATACAATGATCACGGTTATAGTACTACAGTATTATTATATCTATTTATTTATTTATTTATTTATTTATTTTTATTCTCTTTTTATTTCATATTATCTACAAATCAATATTGCGTTTCTTTTTCCTTCAATTGTTTTTTGTTTTGTTTTTTAATTCTTCTAATCATCGTTCGTTTATATCAAACCGTATCATCGTTTCTTTACGATCGAAATTCTATTCGAAACACCAAATTATAAATAAAAATCTTAAAACAAAACAAACTATACAAACTTACCAAATAAAAATGATAAAAAATAAACAACGACGAGAGAAAAATATTACAAAAAAAAATGAATTGAAAATTTTATTTCTACTTGCACACAAGGTATTCGTGTGTACGATGATGATATTGCAAATAACAAAGATAA